AATTGTTGGCAGAGTCAGTAGCATGTTATGGGCAGTTATTTAATTTCTCTAACACCTACCCCTACACATTCCTATTGAGACAACGGTTAGATATACATCTACATACTATATATATATTTGGCTATGTGTTTGTATATATATATATGTTTATGTATATGTGTGATTCAGATTAAATAGACACTACGATTTTTTTATATATGTAAAAAGAAGAAACAGGAAAAATAGAAAATTCTACATCTTGAATCTCTCCTTTTTAATTTTAATATTTGTTATTTTATTTATTGGTGCTACTGTTTATCTGTAATAATTGCGGGGGAAAAAGATATTAACACTACATATTGTGTCTAGTGAATTTTTTCAAGATATTCCTTAGTACATATTTATTTTTAAACAAAGAAATTACAGATATATCTTAAAAAACAACGACGACGACGACAAACAAACTTTTTTTGTATTAAAGAATTTAATTCTGACCTTGATTTCCTTTGCCTTCTCCTTCTGCCTTGCATCCTGGTTTTCTTCCATGATGTAAACAGTTTCTCCAACATTGCCTCTGGAGGCTACAGGGCATCAGCAACCTACCAGTTGGACTCTTGGATTTGGGCCCAGAGCCTCCAAAAGCATCTAGGTACCTAAAGCCCATTGAAATGAATGGGAGGTAGGCACCAGAATCCTTGTGTGGAGCTCAGCCCAAATTTCCAGCTCAGTGAGAAGAGGGTGGTGTGATGGGCAGGACCGAGGGGGCAGAACACCTAGGTTTCTTCCCAGCCTGATGCCAAGCAGTGTGATGATGGTCCCAACCCTGCCTCTATCTTGCCAGGAGCTGAATCCCATGAGCTGGGTGTTGCACAGACATGAGTAGGTGCAATCCTGGTGGAGCTTACAATCCAAGGTGAAAGTAAATGCTCTGAACCTGCCCTGTGTTGTACTCGACTTGGTGTTGGACCTGTCCGTGATGGCTCAGGAAGACGTTGCCATCCTGCACAACATTGAACAAAAAGCTGTTTAGCTCTGACCATGCTCATCACTTCATGAAGGAACTTGATACCATTCCATCTTTTGTGATGTGCTTTGGAGTCTTTAGGAGGAAAAATTGCCAATGGAGATGAATGTGTCATGTGCCAGTCATCTGGCCACACTGGAAAGGAGCATGCAGGATGTTTCTGGATGTCTGGGAGGCAACTCACTCAGGGTTATACAGACCACTGAGTTCATGGCTGCATCATTGCCACTCTTGCAAAGGTAAAGAATCTGGCTTCTATTTAGGATGGACTCAGATAGCTCAACAGGTGGATCTGCAGTCACTGGCTCTCCAGAAGGCAGAGCAGAGGGAAGAGGATGAGTACACTTTGGTTGATTGTGCTCAGTAACATCTTGTGGAGTACAGCAGTGAGGTGGGAAGGTGAGCCATCTGGATGTTTCTGCATGAGGAACCCAAGAAGTTGCTTCCTTTGAGTATTCACCATTGGTTTTTGTGTGGATCTTTGGGCTCTTTCACCTGTGCAAGGTGATGAAGACAGCAAGCCTATCCTCAGGAGACCTGCACTGTCTCTTTGTGACCTGGGAAATGTTTACAAGTCATCAGATTGGAAAAATTGAAACCTGCAGGTAAGTGCTGCTCCCCTGGGCTGAGCTGGATGTGAAAACTCAGCATGAGGGGGCCCAGCTCTCCTGGATGGATGAGCCAGCATGTTCCTGCTGTCAGTCACAGAACATCAAACCCTGTCCCTCCAATGACAAGCTGGGCTGGCTGCTCCTGGTGCCTGCAGGAGAGGAGCATGATTTGCCTCTCTTTTCGTACCTTTAAGGGCCCAGGAGAAGTAGTGTGTCGGCAGAGCCAGGTCACGTCCACCTACTTCATGAGAAAGTGGCTGGATGGCATATTTCAGATGGGACAACTCTTAGAATTTGTGTTTGTGGCTTCAGCAGAGCCAGGGTAGCTGCCTCAAACAACTGCAGCAAGACCCTTTGGGTGACAGGGGTACCTGGGGCCCTGGAAGCAGTCCAGCTCTTTGTTATCCTCCAGTGTGGGTATAACCGGGCTGTCACCTATCCTGGGGAGAGTGATCATAGCTTGGTGTTGGAAGTGAGCTCAGGCTCCTTGGAGAGGCTGTACATGATTGAGAACTCCGCCTTTGGAGAGGCTGGAAGGCAAGAGAGCAGCTGCTCCTCACCCTGCCCAGAGTTTGCACCTGGCTCGCCTGTGCCCTGGCCCGAGGTGAGGCGAGGACACGTGGAGGGAGGCCAGGTTTTCAGGCTGGCACTGTGATCTTGTCATACAGCCTTTCACCCTGTGCAYGAGAACCTTCCCTGAAAGGCTTCTGGTCACGTCCACGTTTTGGTTGCTGGCTAATTAAAATGCTATCTTCAGGCAGCCAGCTGATGCTTCCATCATGCCTACTGCGTTTATTCTGTGGGATTCAGAGAGTGGAGGCACCATGAAAGGCAGAAAAGGGTGCCCTGGACCGATGCAACAGAAAACTCCACTGGCAATGGAATAAAGGGTGCTTTTCGTTGGAAACAGTCTGTCTCTCCCTTTTGGCACCTGCTAGCAGGTTTAACCCCTTGTTGCTGATGTCTTGTGCTGCTCATTGGCCCTGTAAGTCAGACAGCTTCTGCTTGGGCTCCACCACCACCTATGGAGTCTGTTAGAAATGCCTGTAAAGCTCCTGAACTTCCACAGGGTCCCACAGAGGACCTTGGAAGCCCAAAGGAAATTCATTTCACAGGCCAGGTCCTACACTGTCTGCCCGTGGGACCTTTGGTAGTGAGAGATGGGTATTTTTATAGTAGTCCACGTGGTGAGTGAGCAGGCAGTCCCTCTGTGCTTGGGATGCCTGAAATTCAAAGCTAATCCTGACCATCCAGCACCAGCTCTGCAGTCCTGGTCTGTGCAAGCACTGTGCTTGCTCCCAGCTCCCCAGTTGGGGCCAGGCCAGTATGGCCCCAGTGGCACTGTGCCACCCCACAGGCAGCTGCTGGCCCCTGCTGTGCCCCACAGCACCTGACACCCTGTACAATGGGGCAGCTGAGCTGTGGGCCATCCTAGGGGAACCAGGCACTCGTGCCCGGACCTACAGCCAAGTACCCCGTATCTTGTAAGAGGTGGTGAGTTGTGGATAAGAGCAGGGAGGTGATATCCCAGGCACAGCCGTGAAGGAGGGTGTGAAAGRAATTCAGAGTGCCTGACCACAACTTTGGGGAAAGCTTGCCCTTTGGTGTGGGTAGCTGGGTAGACCCTGGGGGCTTTGCATCATGAAGGGGACAGGGATCAGGTTCCCCTTGAAATGACAGAGGTTTGCTGGCTGCCTACATCAGGATAGTGTCTCCAGAGGTGCAGCTTGCTGTCTATGTGAGGTGATTACAGACTTACACAGGGAAATGTGCTTGTTGGGCAAGTGCCACCTGTTTAACTGTCCAAGACTGGCTTCCCAAAAAAAAACCTTTCCAAAAGAATTCTGTCAAACTTGCTGCCTGAGCCACCTCCATACATCCAGGTGGGCAATGCTGCCCGTTCACAAGCTGAGAGACATGTCAGGAAATATCTGCATTTCTGGGCTATAGCTGTATGTTGTGATACGGGGCTAATCTTGCTGGTTTGTCCTCTATATTTTTACCTTGTTTTTTCAGATGCCCCAAACATTCTTTGGGAATGAAAAAAAAAGCCCCATCCCCCCCGCCCCAGCCTGAGTGTGCCCAAGCACACCTTTAGGCGTTTGGACTGCCCACTGCACCCGCTGCTGTAGGGTGCTCTGTGTGTTTAGCACCCGGGTGCCTCTGCTGGCCCCCACACTGCGCTGCCCATCTCCTGGCCAGCCTGGTGCATGCAGCAGGGGGAAGRCATGCTGCAAGCCTGCTGCCAGCCCAGCAAGGCTTTACTTTGGGCTTCATCTGACGCCACCTTTGTCAGCTGTTCCAAGAGCTGTTGGTGCTCTCCATGCTTGGAGTGTGTTGCTTGGTGGGATCCAGCCTAGGAAGGGCATCTGGCTCTGCTCAGCCCCCTGCCAGGAGTGCTGATGAGTGCCAATTCCTGCTGAACAGTCCCCAGGGAGGCTCACGTAATCCCAAAACAATCTGGATGCGGGTCAGAATCCAACCTGTGTGGTAACTTGGAGGCGAAAAGCTTTGGCCCCAGATGTCATTGCCTTTGAATCTTGGTCAAATGGGTCTATGGCGAAGGAAGGGTGTGATTCATGCACGCCTTTGGGCCCTTGCACCTCTGTTCAGTGGCAGCATTATTTAAGAGGAGATAAACAGGGGAGAGACCTCACCCCTTAGCTGCAAGCCCTACTGGCAGCTCAGGAGAGGCAGTGCAAGATGAGCAAAATAATCAACTTACGCAAATAATTCAGTTCCATCACCTCTTCAGAGATTTTAAGGCCAGAAGCATGACCTGCCTGAGCCCTTCACTTTMGTTTGCCCATAGTTCCTACCTGAGCAATGGTGTACACTTTGGAAAGATGTCCAAGCTGCCATCTCACTGCCTGGCCTTCCTGTCCTTCTCACCCACAGAGAACCTGCTGGTACTGAAGCCAGCCTGTGCCACAAACATATAGATACCAGGGAGTAGGTGTTTGTGTCATTGACCCCTTCTCCAGAAGCATGGCTCCCAGCAGCATCCCTCCTGCCCTTCTGTGCTCARCTCTGACAACATGACTGCAGAAGCAAAAGCCCCAACAGATATCTATGATGGACTCATTCCTTTCGAAGAAACCCSTCACCTGGCTGCTCAGAGGCCCGTGCAGATATTAATTTCTGGAAATGCAACTTCATGTTCATCATCTCTGCTTCATTTCTTCCCAGCCTGAATTTGCTCATTGCCTCTCC